GCAGGGACACACATCCATCCCGTCCCCCCCAGGCCCCCAGCAGCGGGCTGAGACCCCCCCAAACTCATCACCCCTACCGCCGCCATCCCTGGCAGGAGCCGTGCCACCCCTGTCCCCCGTCCCCCCGTCCCCTCCAACCAACTCTCACCGCTCTTGGGGTCAAACCTCCAGGCTGGCACGCTGGTGGCCACCACGGGCCCGGCGTCGGGAGCCAAAGGGACGGAGAGATGGATGGGGCCGGCCAGCGGCACCTCCGTCCCGTTGCCGGTGAAGAGGTGGACGCTGAGAGCCGCCACGGGGGCCAGCTCCAGCCAGGTGGCATTGGCTGCGGGGACAAGTGACGGGGACGTCGGTACGGGGGGGACCTCGGGGGTGGGGGCCCCGTCTTGTCCCCCCACTTACCGCTGCCGTCCTGCTCGGCCCCCAGGAAGGCGGGGAAGGCCCGTGCCAGGCTGGGCCCGGTGGCGGCGGTGAGGGACGCGGCGAGCTGGCTGTACGTGGAGCTGCGGGGCAGGCGGGCTGCCCGCCGGGGGAACTGTGCCCACGGCTGCCCCCGGGCACCTGGGGAAAGGAGAGGGGTGGGGGACACACACACGACGACAACAAGGTGGGTGGCAGCACCTGAGGGTGGTGGTGTCACCCCATCCCCCCCATCCATCACTCACCTGGGGATCCCAGGAGGATTTGGACCAGGTCCTCGTAGAGGATGAGGGTGGCGGGGCGCTCGGGGAGCAGGTAGAGGCTGATGGAGGCGTAGACTGCAAGGGGGGGGAGTAATGGAGGGGGGGCACCCTAAAAATACCCCCACCAGCCCCCCCAAGATGGGGAGGGGGGCAGGGAGGAGGAGGAGGAGGAAGAGGAAGGAAATGCCATTACCTCTGGTGGGGTGAGAGGGCAGCCCCCAGCAGCAGGGCCAGCAGCAGGAGCCAGCACCGCATGGCGCAAACCCCTTTCCAGCTCCACAGCGATGTCACAGAGGACCCCCCACGGTGGCCCTGGGACACCAGCCGGGGTGGGCAGGAGGCAGGTCCCCACCAACC